ACTAAGCAAGGCTTTGAGATCTGAGGAATGAGCAAAAGTTCATTATACAAAATGAGAAAGGAAAATTATCCCAAAGGAAAAAGTAGTACAAAAGCCCAACTGCATAGTAGGAAAAAGCAAAATTAGTTCAGACGATGGCTAGAGGAAGAGTAGGGAAAAACATGATACAGATGTGGTCAGAGAGGAGACAGGGAGGCATATGACCATGCTGGACTTTGCAGGCCACACCTTTGTCCTCAAAGGAATGGGAAAAAATTGAGTGTTTTAAGAAGGAAAAGTAACATAATCATATTTGTGTTTTGAAAAATTACTCCAGGTGTTTCTGTATGGAGGACATTTGAGCAGCAGCAGGTAATGAGGAGGTGTCACAGTAGACTAAATGAAACTTGATAGAAATCTAGACTGGGTGATGGTGGTGGAAATGAAGAGATGTGGAAAGACTGAAAACAATTCAGGAGGACAATAAAGTATCAGGTCTTGACAATGGACTGCACATACAGTGTGACAGAAGAAAGTATCTGAATCAACAAATATTTATTAGACATTGAGCATGTGCCAACCACTGTTCTAGGTGTATAGGATAAATCAGTACACAAAAGCGATTAAAAAGAAACAAACAAAACAGCATCCTGCTCCAGTGAAGTGTCATGCTAGTAGATGACTCAAAGCAAAACGGAGGATAAAGGAGGTAAGGAGCAGCAGTGGTAGAGCAGTTTTAAATGGGGCGGCCAAGTCAAGACTCACTGAGGTGAGCTACAAAGATTCAAAGAAGACATGAAGATGTAGGCTTCCCTGGAACCTCAGCTGGCAAAGAATCTGCCTGCGATGCAGAAGACTCCAGTTCAATTCCTGGGTCGGGATGATCCCCTGGAGAGGGGATAGGCTACCCACTCCAGTATTCTTGGGTTTCCCTGGTGGCTCAGCTGGTAAAGAATCCACCTGCAATGTGGAAGACCTGGGTTCAATCCCTGGGTTGGGAAGATCCCCTGGAGGAGGGCATGGCAACCCACTCCAGTATTCTTGCCTGGAGAATCCCATGGACAGAGGAGCCTGGCAGGCTGCAGTCCATGGGGTTGCTATGAGTTGGACATGACTCAGCGACTAAGCATGCATGAGGGTTAGGTAAGCAGATTTGACAGGGAAGAACATCCTAGGTACTGGGCACAGCCATTAGAAAGGTCTTGACATAGCAGTGAGGCTGACGTGCAGTGAGAAACAGCAACTGTTCAGTGAGGGTGGAGCACGGTGAGTGAGAGGGAAAGAAGCTCAGAGCTGTAACTTGGGACCTCTAAAAACTTGGTGGTTTTTTCCTCTGAGTGAAATCGGACACCATCACAGAGTTATGAGTACAGGAGGGACATGAACTGATATTCTATAAAAAAGGATTATTCTGGTTGCTCTCTTGGGAATAGACTACAGGGAAACAGGAACATTTGTTTGAGGCTATTATAATAATTCTGCAAAGAATGATGGCAGCTTAGACTCTGGTAGTCAGCAGTGGAGATGATGTAAAGTGGTCAGACTGTGGATATATCTGAAGGCAGGCCAACAGTACTGGATGTGGCTGTGAGAGAAAAATTAAAGATAACAACAGAAGGATTATGTCCTGAACACCTGGAGGGACAGTGTTACCACTGACCAAGATTGTGAAGGTTACATACATAATAGGCTTAGAAGTGAGGAACAAGAGTTCAATTTGGACAGGTTAGGTTTGAGATGATTATTAGACCTTCCAGTAGAATTAATAAGTTGATAATTGGATATCTGAATCTTTCATTAAGGATAAAAGACTAAGGACATACATCTGGAGGTCAATGGCAAATAGAGCACATAAGTGAGTTTATTAAAGGAGTACACATGCTGGTCAGAATGGCTGCTATCAAAAAGTCTACAAACGATAAATGCTGGAGAGGGTGCAGAGAAAATGGAACCCCCTAACACTGTTGGTGGGAATGCAAACTAGTACAGCCACTATGGAAAACAGTGTGGAGATTCCTTAAAAACTAGAAAGAGAACTGCCATCAGTTCAGTTCAGTTGCTCAGTCGTGTCCGACTCTTTGCGACCCCATGAACTGCAGCACGCCAGGCTTCCCTGTCCACCACCAACTCCCGGAATCTACCCAAACTCACGTCCATTGAGTTGGAGATGCCATCCAACCATCTCATCCTCTGTTGTCCCCTTCTCCTCCCGCCTTCAATCTTTCCCAACATCAGGGTCTTTTCAAATGAGCCAGCTCTTCGCATAAGGTGGCCAAAGTATTGGGGTTTCAGCTTCAACATCAGTCCTTCCAATGAACACTCAGGACTGATTTCCTTTAGGATGGACTGGTTGGATCTTCTTGCAGTCCAAGGGACTCTCAAGAGTCTTCTCCAACACCACAGTTCAAAAGCATCAATTCTTCTGTGCTCAGCTTTCTTTATAGTCCAACTCTCACATCCATACATGACTACTGGAAAAACCATAGCCTTGACTAGACAACCCAGCAATCCCACTGCTGGGCATACACACTGAGCAAGCCAGAATTGAAAGAGACACATGTACCCCAATGTTTATCATAGCACTGTTTACAACAGCTAGGACATGGAAGCAACCTAAATGTTCACTGGCAGATGAATGGATAAGAAAGGTGTGGTACATATACACAATGGAATATTACTCAGCCTTTAAAAAGAACACATTTGAATCAGTTCTTAATGAGGTGGATGAGACTGGAGCTTATACAGAGTGAAGGAAGTCAGGAAGGAAAAAACCAATACAGCATATTAACACATATATATGGAATTTAGAAAGATGGTAACAATGGCCCTATATGCAAGACAGCAAAATAGACAGACTTTTGGGCTCTGTGGGAGAAGGTGAGGGTGGGATGAGTTGAGAGAACAGCACTGAAACATGTATATTACCTTATGTGAAACAGATCGCCAGTCCAGGTTCAAAATATGAGACGGGGTGCTCAGGGACAACCCTGAGGGATGGGATGGGGAGGGAGGTGGGAGGAGGGTTCAGGATGGGGGACACATGTACACCCATCGCCGATTTCATGTCAATGTATGGCAAAAACCACTACAATATTGTAATTAGCCTCCCATTAAAATAAATAAATTAAAAAAAACAATCAGTACAGAAGTCGTGGTACATACACACAATGGAGTATTACTCAGCCATAAAAAGGAATGCATTTGAGTCAGTTCTGATGAGGTGGATGAAACTAGAACCTAGTATACAGAATGAAGTGAGTCAGAAAGAGAAAGATAAATATCATATTCTAACACATATATATAGAATCTAGGAGAATGGTACTGAAGAACTTTTTTACAGGGCAGCAACTGGTGGCTCAGATGGTAAAGGGTCTGCCTACAATGCGGGAGACCCAGCTTCGATACCTGGGTCAGGAAGATCCTCTGGAGAAGGAAATGGCAACCCACTCCAGTATTCTTGCCTGGAAAAATCCCATGGACAGAGGAGTATGGTGGGTTACAGTCCATGGGGTCAGAAAGAGTCAGACACGCCTGAGGGACCACTAATGGAGAAACAGACACAGAGTACAGACTTATGGACACGGGGAGAGGGGAGGAGAGGGTGACATATGTGGAAAGAATAACAGGGGAACTTACATTACCATATGTAAAATAGATAGCCACTGGGAATTTGCTGTATGGCTCAGGAAACTCAAACAGGAGCTCATATCAACCTAGAGGGGTGGGATGGGGTGGGATGGGGCAGGAGGGGACATATGTATACTTATGGCTGATTCATGTTGATGTTTGACAGAAAGCAACAAAATTCTGTAAAGCAATTATTCTTCAATTTAAAAAAAAAAAAAGAGTATAGAGGAAAAAAAAAATTGGGTCACTCCCAGTAAGAGGTCAAGAAGAGGAACCAACAAGGAAACTGCAAAAGAATGACCAATCAACAAAAGCAAAACCAAGAAAGTGGTGTCCTGAAAGCCAAATGAAGAAAGTATAGCAAAGTTTCTGGCTTGTACCATTGGAAGCAAGGAAGTACCATTCTCCAAATACAGAAATCCTAAAAAAGGATCACATGTGTGAAGGTAAAGATAATGAGTTTGGCTTTAAATATGTTGAGGTACATTATTACTGAATAAGTGAAGGAACTGTAAACTGTAATTTGAAAGGTCTGGGTTTGATTTCTAATTCTTTGTTTGCTCTGATACATTAACATGTCATTTAACCTTTCTGAGTCTCAACCTCCTTTTTTACAAAGGGAGAAAAATATTTCTACAACAATATTTACACAAATGGTTGCTATGTGAATATCAGAAATGGCGTGTTGTAAGAAAGAAGACTTCAAACTCCTATGAATACATACAGAAAAGTTATGGAATACTGAAAGATGTGAAAGTTAATCTTTCTAAGACAGAAGACTGAAAATCAGACCAAGCCTATACGGAACCATCCACATTATACCTCTAGCAGCTCCCTCAGCTGTATCCTGTGGAATTCCTGTCTTATTTTAAAAACAATTCGACTTGCTCTTAACCCTTTTATCAAATATTCCTTCAACCATCAGACCCAATTGAAAATTGGGCTTATCCCTAAAGACACCATTTAACCTTGACACCTATCATAATGACCTGATGTTCTCCAAACACATCTTACTTGTTACAATTTCCACATTTTTTGCACATATGCTATCTTCTTTGCCTGGAATCCTTCCCCATCTCATCCTCTGTCCAAATTCAAACTACCCAAGGACTCCAAGGCTATCTGCATCACAAAGGCTTCCGTGGCCCCTCACAACTGAACGGGGTATCTTCTTTAAAACTACCACAACACATAACAAGTACCGCTCCCGTGAGTCGCTCTGCTGAGGTTTGCAGTACATATTTTGCATAAAAGTCTTATATTTCTAAACAGACTTCAAGTCGGATTCACCTTTGTATTCTTATAAAATTTTATAACAGTTGGTGCTCCTAAAATACTGTGAATACGCACTTCAGTAAACCTGACTTGTTTCTAAAGGATGTTGGTATACTTACATTTTTTACTCTGTTTTTCCACTTCGGCCTTCAGTCTCTTGTATTTGTCTGTCCTGTAAACCAGGACCCAAGTTATACCTGAAATATTAAAAGCAGCATGCTAACAGAGAAATGTTTGGAATCGTCACAATAACCCTTATTGTTGGTTACTGTTAGGTAAGAGTGGATTTCGACTTTTTGCTTTATATTCACTAGTGCTTAACAACTGATGTTCAACCAAAACAACTATGACACGATTCGAAGTTGTCGCCACAAACACGCAAATGAAATCTACCCTGGACCGGAGAAACCTGGCAATGGATTCCACACTGGATTCCCTCCCAGTCCTGAAGGTAAGATTCCCTGAAGTAGAGTACATGAGACCCATCCCCACCGCCACCAAAGGAAGCAAGGCTCGTGACTTCTCCCTTGGAGGCTCGAGGGACCCCGGGCCTAGGATCCTTCCTTTCCCTCGGGGTCTGATCACACGCCAAAAAATAAACAGCTACTCTCACCCTCGGCGAGCAGAGCCGTGCACACGGAGATAAAAACGATGAGCAGCGTGTCTGCGAACATCGTGCTCATCTCGCGCTTCACTCTCTGCACTCCCACTCTCCGGGGGGAAGCCCTTGACAGCCAGAGAAACTGAAGCGAAAACGATTTTCCTAGATTTCAGGACCGCGGAGTAACACCCCGACTCTGACAGACAGGAAGTCTCACTTCCGCTTCCTGGGCGCAGCGCCGGAAGTGCTCATTCTGGCGTGCCCTGTTGCCGCGAGAATCCTGCGGAAATCGCGATGCAAGTTTCTGGAGTAGATGGGCTGGCTTTCAATCCCAACCTCGCGAGAGTTGGAGCTGGCGTGCCTAAGACCTGGTTGTAGCGGTCGGACTTCCTCTGGTAACGTCTGCTAGCTGTGGTACTGGGGTGCTCTTTTTTTTCGCCCCGAGTGTGCGTGTTTTGACTCGTCTGTTTGTCTGTGTTTCTGTCTCAGTCCCACATTTAAGGCCGAGTAGATAGTTTAGTTTCGGTTTGCCTAAAGTGGGGAAATTGGCTTCCAAACACAACATACCTAAACTCTGTTTAGGTTCCAGGTCACGGATTTGGGGCTGGAGGCGCTAACATCAATGAGCCCCGGGCCGCTGGCTTCCAGGCACTCCCATCCTAGCAAAGGAGAGAAACTTGTGCATACGATGTGATTAGAACTTTTATAGAGGTGTGATCAGAATGCTGCGGGGACCTGTTTCAGCAGGTGGTCAGAGGGGGTTAGTGAAAGGAATTGAAGCAGTGGCTTAGAGGAGTCAGTGTTTTGGAGAAAGGCAACGCAGTCCTTGAAAATAAGTGGTGTGTAATAGAGCAGTGAGCGGCATGTCGTAGGGGGTGGTCATATAACCACCAATACACAGGGTGGGCTTAAGAACATGATGGGAGGTACTACAGTGAGTAAGGGAGCACGAACTTGATCTGAAAGGAACTATTGATGCTTGTAACCAATTTACCTTGGATAATGAGCACCGAGTTTCCAATATCTTCCCATTTTTCAAGAAAATCCCCAAATACTGAGTTATGTGAAATTTTAAATGTTCTAATCTATAAATGCTGGTAACTTATTAAAGGACTTCCTTGGTGGCTCAGAAAGTAAAGAATCCGCCTGCCATACAGGAAAAATGGTTGAAGAAAGAAGTTGTCTCAGCAACTTAGTTTCAGCCTTTGCAGGTTTTCCAGACTGAGTATGTCTGTGTGTATGTATGAAAATCAGGTAGCTGGCGGAACTACCTCCCCTTAACCTGTACTTTTATTCTGTGTTCTTTTCTGCTAAACACCAATGCACTTTATTTATAACTTCCCTGTAACAACTGTATTTGGCCTTTATTTCTTATATATGCATTTCTTGTCTCCTCTTTAGACTTAGTGGCAGACATCCTGTTTCCTTTTAACGACATTGAGCTTCTACTACGCATGTGAGGATCACTGGTAGACACTACAGTGATTGGAAACGGTAATTAAGATACTATTCCTGACTTCCTTGGAAGTTACATGTTATGATAAGATGTAAGAGAGGTGTTGACTGAAAAAAAAAAACAAAAACAAAAACCACCTTACAACCTCAAAGTTGGGAGTTAACGTTTTTGTCGGAAGTCTTTCTGAGGCCTTGAGCCCTGAAGGCAGCCAAGAAGCTCTGAGGGACTGCTCCGAAGGGGTATGGGACGAGCCAGGAGGCGTTTTTACAACAGAAACCGGGTTGGAAGTCAAACGGTCACTGCTAATTAAAGAAAAACCAGACATCTCAAGTTAATGAATTTAGCCATATATGGGAAGATGCTAGAGTCTGGGCTTATTGAAGTTTTTCTTCTGATATGCACCTTAACTATCCGGGTCCAGTACCCTTCCTGGACCCCCTCAGGGTGCACCGCTGGGGACCACTGCAGTGGCTGACAGCTTGGTGGTGGGTGGCCTGTTGGTCTCTTCCCTGAACTCCCTCAGGGCTGAATGGTGGCTGAGGGCTTGATGTTTGCTGACATGGCAAGTGACGTTTTACATCCACAGAGATGTTCACGAAATGTTACGAGCACAGAGGAGGGCAAGGTTGGCTCTTTCTGGAGGAGCTGGAAAAGCTTCATCCCATTTGAACTATTCAACTTGGATGGTTTTTATTCAGCTTTGTATCACCCATGGTAAATGTTGAGGTACAACAGAGCATGACCTTTGAAGTTAGACTTTGTTTTCTCTCTTGATTTCCTTTCTGTCTCTCTCTTTTTTTTTTCTTTTTTTGCCATCATGCCACAAGACTTGCTGATCGAATCTGGGGCCCGGCAGTGAAAGCACTGAGTCCTAATCACTGAACCGCCAGGGAATTCTCTGTACCTGGTTTGTAGTACTTGTTTTTCCCCTTAATTGACAGCAGTCCTTGAACATGTTAATATCTTTGAGCCTCAGTTTCCTTACCTGTAAAATAGTAATAGCATCAACTACATGAAACCATTATGAAGATTAAACTAGAGTATATTATAAAACATATAAAACTGTGGCATGTGCATTTGATCAAATCCAACATGTTGTTATTTTATGTACTACTAAGAAAGAAAATAATAAAACCATGATTGTAAGATGCATCTCATCCAGAGGTGTTAAAATGTAATAAAAAGCATTTAAATTATTCCTCAGTTAATACTTACTACAAAACTGTTAGGATAACATTTCCTTCTCTGTGTGTGTTAGTTGCTGAGTCATATCCAGCTTTTTGCTACCCAGTGGATGCATAGGAGCCTGACAGACTCCTCTGTCCATGGAATTCTCCAGGCAAGAATACTGAAGTGTGTTGCCATTCCCTTCTTCAGGGTATCTTCCTGACCACAGGATTGAACTCTTGTCTTTTATGTCTACTGCATCAGCGGGTGGATTCTTTACTACCAGTGCCACCTGAGAAGCCCTCTCTAGGGCAATGCTGTGACCCTCTTGCTGAAGAATAGTGCTAGAGGCAATTCAATGATGTCTTTATTGCATGCTTCCAGATTCCTTTATCATGTCTTAAGCACTCAGTTGTACTAATTTTTAAGTTTTAAAGTTTTGTCCCTGAAGACCACTCCAAAAAGTCACTGTCCTGCTCTAATTTTTATGACTATTACAAAGCTTATGTCCTGGGACTTCCTCTCACTCTTCTCTAGGATAGGAGTCATTATTTCCTGGACCCACATCTTCTGCCTTAGTTTATACTTTCTTTTTTATGTTATGGTACAACCTCAAGTAACTTTCTGTGCAAGGTAAGTGGGAGCTGAACTTCAGTGTTCTCACATTACTAGTAGTAACAGTTATATTTACTATGAGGCTTAGCATTGTAAAAGATTATGAGAGAAATCAAATCCCTTTTCTCAACTGAGGTATGAAAGAATATGGCTTTTAGGTTTAAATTGTAACCCTACTTCATGCAACCTGTGTTATTTTGGAAGGGAATTTAATTTCTCTGAGCCTCATTTTTTTTTTTTTTAATATGTGAAATGGAGCTAAAAATATCACTTTCCAGAATACTATAAGGTTTATATAAGGTTAGGGCAAAGTTCTGGAGTCAGGCTACCTGTCTTCAAGTCTTAGCTTCACCACTCAAGTAGATGTGCACTTTTAGGCAAATTATTTCACTGCACTGTCCCTTGGTTTCCTTAAGTGACATAATAACACCTAAGTCCAAAGGGTTTTTTTTTTTTAATTATCTGAGTAAAGTATTGAAAATGGTACTTGGCTCATAGAAAGTTCACATTAAGTGTTAACTGTTACTCTTGGTTCTTATTAAACCACCTAGCACATAATCCTTGGACTAGTTTTTTCTCATTCTATTCATTTTCCTGGTGACCTTGCTTTCTTCAATAGCTTCAGTTACCATCTATCCACTGGTAGCTGAAATTTTTTTTCTGATTCTCAGACCTAGTATCTAACTGCCAAGTAGGCATTTTCATGTGGACATTCCAAACTGAATCTATGCAGTTCCTTCACCCAAACTCCAGTTTTTTCTTCTTCCCTTATACTTACATATATACTTACACTTTCCTTATTTTTATATATATATATATATATATATATATATGTATATATAATTATTAAGTCTTAAAAAGGGCATTCTAATACATGCTACAACATAGATGAGCCTTGAAGACATTATGCTGTGTGAAATAAGCCAGTTACAAAAGGGTAAATATTGTGTGATTCCACCACGAGGTACTTAGAGTAGTCAATCAGAGACATAGAAAGTAGAATGGTGGATGATCAGGACTGGGAAGAGGAGAGAGAGAAGAGTTATTGTTTAATAGGCACAGAATTTCAGTTTGGGAAGATGAAAAATTCTGAAGATGGATGTGATGGTTGATTGTTGTTCAGCAATATGAATGAATTGGACTCTTGTTGAGTAAGAGGGTTACTCCATTCCTTCTAAGGGATTCTTAACCATAGTAGTATACATAATGATCATCTGAATTAAATTTGCCCATTCCCATCCATTTTACTTTACTCATTCCTAAGATGTCAGTGTTCAGTCTTGTCATCTCCTGCTTGACCATTCCAATTAACCTTGATTCATGGACCTAACATTGCAGGTTCCTATGCAGTATTGTTCTTTATAGCATTGGAATTTACTATCACCACCAGACACATCCACAACTGAGTGTTGTATGCACTTTAGCCCAGTTGCTTTGTGGTTTTGGTTTTTGTTTTTTCAGCCCTTCATTCTTTCTGGAGCTGTTAGTAATTGCTCCAAGGTCGTATCTTTTTGCCTTTTCTTACTGTCAGCGGGGTTCTCATGGCAAGAGCATTGGAATGGTCCTCATTTCCTCTTCCCTGCATGGCATGGCTCATAGCTTCATTGACTTATACAAGCCTCTTCAACATGTCAAAACTATTATCCATGAAGAAGGAACTGTACCTGAGACACAGTTAAAAAGGTAGGCTTGATATTGTGCATATGGTACCATGAATTTTAAAAGATTTTGTTAACTTGGACCATATCTAGAGGATATGGATCAGCAGAATCTTTTGATCCTTGTGGGAGTGTAAATTGGTACAGCCCCCTTCAAAAGTTTGTCATTACCCTGTAGAGATAAAC